GGCGTGTGTCTCGTGTGGCTCCTGGCAGGTGTGTGTGTGTGTGTGTGTGTGTGTGTGTGTGTAGAGCGTTCACAGGCTTTACCCAGAAGCCCCTGACACCGAGGATGTGGATGAAGGCATTGGAGGAGGAGAAGAAGAGGGCGCAGATGAGGATGAAGAGAAGGAGAGACGAGCAGAGAGACGTTCCCCTCGACGGCTCAAGGACGAGGTTAGTTTCTTTGTCAGGCCTCATACAGACAATCTTCTTTGAATAGAAAGATCAAAAGAACAGCATGTATTTGAATGTGTCCTCTGAGCCAGTGCTGATGTGATGCTTGTGTGTCTCAGAGAGAAAACACGGAGCCCAAAGCCGTGCAGGTGTTCAGATTAGACATCATGGCAGCAGGTGAGACGTTCAGCGGTTCAGTAACAGACAGCAGTGCTGTTCAGCAGACAGCGGCGTGTAAGACTGTGTGTGTGTGTGTGTGTGTCCAGATGACGAGGGCTTCCTCAGGAAACAGAAGCACATGAGGGCTCAGGCGTTTGCTTTTAAAATGCGTCCGCGCAAGGAGGTGCTGGAGGTCAATTATGTGAGTATAACGTTTGTGTGTCATAATGCATTATATCTGTTCCTGTGTTTGAGCTTCAACATTGATCGGTACAAACTGCACTAAAGGGCCCGTTATACATCTGCATCTGACCTGCTGTTTACACTTGAAGATCTGTTTACATTAATGTGTCTCCGTCATTTGAGTACAGGAGCAAAGCTTCAGCCATTTGTGTGGAATCAAGCTTCCAGCAATCAGACTCTGTTACTATCATTACCAGTAAATCTGTTTTATTAACATGAACACCGCTTTATTACCATCACAATGGCTGACTTGATGTCCAATAATTGCTGGTGAAATTATCTAGGTTTCTGGAGACAATCTAGTGATGTGATTTCTGGCTCATTTCCACTAACCAGTCCTTTCAGATAACCCATGCAATGTGAGACACTTTGGGTAAAAGCGTCTGCCAGATACATGCGTGTAGATGTAATGAGATTCATCCAGCTCTTCATTCATCACCTTTCCAAGACTCCGTGTCCAGTCAGTTTTACAATGCTTTTCACAATACTCATCATTTCAAAGCAGCCTTGCAGAAAATCATGATGTTAATGTTTATAATATATTTATGCTTTATAGTTACATTTAGTAGATTACAGCTGAATGATAATAAAGTTACATTGTGCAAGGATATAAATAGTCATGCAACCGAGATTTGCTTTACTTCTGTTTTGTCAGAACTTAAAAGAAAATACATTTTAGAAAAGTAAAGAAAATTTAAATTAACTCAAATTCGCCAAGTCTGGAGGAAATATAAAGCTGAAAGTCATGTAATAAACAGTGAAAACTAATGCTACGCTTTGTGATAATATCCCCTAAGAGGAGCTTGTACATGGAGAAGAGTAAAGGACCTAATACTGAGCCCTGTGGCACTCCATGCTTCAGTACTGCAGAGTCAGCAGTTCATCATTTCAAAGCACATCTTTAGACTCAGCGCTCTCTTCTGTTCTGATGTTTTGAGCATGTCCTGTGTAAACGACCTCTGCAAAACATGTCTGCTCTGTGGTTTTGAGCTAAAACTCTGTTACTATGCAGCGCAGCTTTAATCGCTATTAGTCGATGTTCAGAGTGTGTGTGTGTGTGTGACTGACAGATCGACCTGTACATGTGCATGGTGTGTGGGCGGGGCGACGAGGAGGACCGCCTCCTGCTGTGTGATGGCTGTGATGACAGCTACCACACCTTCTGCCTGATCCCGCCGCTGCAGGACGTGCCCAAAGGAGACTGGCGCTGCCCCAAGTGTGTGGCAGAGGTACAGCCTTCTCACAGCTCAGTACACACACACACATGCTGTAACGAATGCTCCTCTGATGCACTGATCTCCCGTCACACAGGAGTGCAGCAAGCCTCGCGAGGCGTTCGGCTTCGAGCAGGCCGTGCGCGAGTACACGCTCCAGAGCTTCGGTGAGATGGCCGACCACTTCAAGTCCGATTACTTCAACATGCCTGTTCATGTAAGTGTCGTTAAAGAGCGTCTACACGCTTCTCAAGAGTTAAAGCAGAGTTCTGGGTTCAGAGTAACACATGTAAACATGCTGGGTGTGTGTGTGTGTCAGATGGTGCCCACGGAGCTGGTGGAGAAGGAGTTCTGGCGTCTGGTCAGCAGCATCGAGGAGGACGTGATCGTGGAGTACGGCGCTGATATCAGCTCCAAAGACATGGGCAGCGGATTCCCAGTGCGAGACGGCAAGAGAAAACTCATCGGCGACGAGGATGTAAGATGCTTCATTTCATACTGCTGCATCTCACACTAGTGCATGAAGAAATTTCATTGATACATTTTATACACACACATATATACATGTGTGTTTCCTCTATTTCTCTTGTGATTCTGTGGTGAGATATGACCATAGACAGGTCTTCCTGATTCTCACGTGTATGCGCAGGAGTACGCGAGCTCGGGCTGGAACCTGAACAACATGCCGGTGCTGGAGCAGTCGGTGCTGACGCACATCAGCGGGGACATCAGCGGCATGAAGGTGCCCTGGCTGTACGTGGGCATGTGCTTCTCGTCCTTCTGCTGGCACATCGAGGACCACTGGAGCTACTCTATCAACTACCTGCACTGGTGAGTCCTGCGCACTCGTGCTGATGTTCAGCGCCTGAGACACTGAGACGAGTGACGTGTGTGTGTCTGTTGATCAGGGGCGAGCCCAAGACCTGGTACGGCGTTCCAGCACACGCCGCCGAGCAGCTGGAGTCCGTCATGAAGAAAGTGGCTCCGGAGCTCTTCGACTCTCAGCCGGACCTCCTGCATCAGCTGGTCACCCTGATGAACCCCAACCTCCTCATGGAGCACGGTGTCCCGGTACAGCCTCCTCTGCATCTGCCCTGCATTCTGCTGCTCACCGGCAAACCAGCTTAACACTTGCTTCAGAAATGAACAATGAGATGAGATATTTCACCCCTGGCAGCAGTATTTTAGGACAGTGTTATTGACAGATATTCCTCAGCTGTCACTGACAGGGCTCATTATCATACAGGTGTACCGGACCAATCAGTGCGCGGGAGAGTTTGTCGTCACCTTCCCAAGAGCCTATCACAGCGGCTTCAATCAAGGCTACAACTTTGCTGAGGCAGTCAACTTCTGCACTGCAGACTGGGTGCGTCCTCTAGAGCCACAGTGAATCTTCAGCATGTGGTTTGCTGTGTTTGTATGTAGATGTGTGTGATGACATATACGTGTGTGTGTGTTGTGCAGCTGCCCATCGGGAGGCAGTGTGTGGCGCATTACCGGCGTCTGCAGCGCTACTGCGTCTTCTCCCATGAGGAGCTGGTGTGTAAGATGGCGGCCGATCCGGAGAGTCTGGACGTGGAGCTGGCGGCGGCTGTGGTCCGAGAGCTCGGAGACATGATCGAAGAGGAGAGCCGCCTGAGAGCAGCCGTGCAGGAGACGGTGAGAGAGACCCGGCCTCACATGGCGCCAGCAGTTCACTGGCAGGAGTACTTCATTAATATCCAGTACCGCAGAAATTATAATACGCTGTTGACAACGACTTTAGTTTAACAACTTCTACATCAGGGTAACATGGGGCAAAAATACAACAAAATTAATTAAAAATGCCACCAAAATTCAAGATGTATAGAGGACAAAACCTTTTTTTATTCTTTATAACATATAATAGTTTGGCAGTATCACGTAAGCAAGCAGGGTTTCCGCAGGGTCTTAAAAAGTCTTAAATTGTACAAGAAAGTCTTAATTATGATTTCAAGAGGTCTTACATTTGGGGACAGAAAGACCAGAATGGCGATATGGCTGAATGTGAGGATTAAACTTCAAAAGGCTATGATTTCATGAGCGCTGCAGGTTCAGAGTCTGGCGCTGCGCTGCTTTGCTTACAGCGTTATCGGGGAAACGGTTATATTTCTACCAAACGCTCCTCCTGCTGGCAGAGAATAAATGAGCATTTTCAATAAAACTGTTGATTTGTTCAGAGTTCAGACCGATGCAAAAATCCACCCATGTTGTTACCCTGCAATCACGCAGAGCTTTAAATGTGAACTGGTGATCGATAAGAAGACAATGCATTATAAAAATCCAAACAGTATAGGGGTGTGCGATATATATGGTTTGCGATAATGTCTTAATTGTTGTTTTAACAATGTGCAATTTGATATTATCAAGTATATCGTGAGAAGCAAACACAAAACACACCTACAGAGTGCACGCTTACATCAGAAGTGATGAAGTCTAGTAAGTTAACATGGGTTAAACTAGTGCTCGTGCGCATTTATAGTGCGTTCTTTCACTGCATGAATCAGTCTATTAAAATGCATTTAGAATGATCACATAATTCAAGATATGGGGCAGAAAATGTATGTATTTATATCATTCTATATAGTTAATATCACACAAAAAGTGCCGTTTTTTTCTCCAAAAGTCAGCATGATTACAAATGTGTTATTAATTTTATACAACAGTTCAATAAACAAGAAGTTAATATTAAGAGACTTACATTTTAGACGCCATATTGCCTGTTTTTGCTCTATTTCTCCAACAAAAATAATTCCAAACACAGCCACAGCGCTGTTCTACGTCTCTGAGCAACATGACAGTGTTTCGTTCCTGAATGAATCAACCGTTTAAATGATTCGGTTCAGTCGCAGTGACTCACTTATTAACAGTGACTTGCTGCCACCTGCTGGCGGTTTTAATTTCACATTTAAAGTACCTTTTCAATTTTTTTATAATTTCAAACATCAGTTTTCAATGTTTTATGTTTAAAATATCAAAACGTTATTTATGCATTTGTAACTGCAGGTTAAAGTATTTAATGTCCCTCAGAGCTGCATTAAACCGTGTGTAAACACATCTAAACGCCTCTTCAGACGCAGCTTCTGTGTTTCCTCTGCGCTGCAAAGATACATTTTGTTGATACTGATTTCATTTGCTTGTGTCAGCAAATAAAACACTAAAATAATCTTAGTAATAATAATAAAAGCATCTGATAATTTAAAAAAATAAGTACTTTTTTTTTCATTTGCTTGCTAACAAAAAATGCTAGCAAAAACATCTTAATAATAATAAAAGCATCTGATATTCTTTTTATTGTTTTTATTATTTTTTTCAGTTGCTTCTGTTATCAGCCAAAAACCACAAAACATAATCTGAATAACAATAAAAGCGTCTGATAATTATTTTCTTCTTATGTTGATGTGTTTTGCTTGTGTGATCAGGCAGAAAGCAGAAGAAGCCCAAAGCGGAGGTGCTGGATTTCGAGATCCCCGTCTCGTTCTGGTGGGAGCTGAAGCATCTCTCCGAGCGTCTGCTGGAGAACATCAACGGTAACCATCTGAACACCTTGTGTATGTGTTTGTGTTGCTCCTCTTCATCTTCATCTTCACCTTCACCTCAGTCTGCGTGACGGACACCAGCGCCAGCGCCGCTCTCCAGACGCTGCTCACCGTCTGTCACAGGAAGAGACCCCTTCTGTGCAGGAAGCTGATCAAGGGCATCATGGGATACCTGGCGTCGCTCAGCTCGGCTCCTGGAGTCAGGTGAGGAGGACGAGGAGGAGGGATCGGGTGATGATGCTCAGTTTAGCTTTCAAAAAAGAGGACAGTGGGGGCAAGATGGGTTTGAGGGGGTTAAAGTAGCAAAAAATTTAATTTCCATATAGGAGTGTGTGATACATATCGTCTGCGGTAATATCGTAATTGTTGTTTAACGATGTGCGATTTGACATTATCGAGTATTTTGCAAAAACCATTCAATCTCGCCTTCAGAGTGCATGCATAGATTTAGAGTGCGTTCTTTCTCTGCATGATTCTCTATTAAAATGCATTTAGAATGATCACATAATTCAAGATATGGGGCAGAAAATGTATGTATTTATATCATTCTATATAGTTAATATCACACAAAAAGTGCCGTTTTTTTCTCCAAAAGTCAGCATGATTACAAATGTGTTATTAATTTTATACAACAGTTCAATAAACAAGAAGTTAATATGACTTACGTTTTAGACACCATATTAACCTGTTTTTGCTCCATTTCTCCAACAAAAATCATTCCGAACACAGCCACAGTGCTGTTTTGTGTCTCTGAGTGACAGGACGGTGTTTTGTTCCTGAATGAATCACCCATTTAAATGATATCAACCGTTTAAATGATTCGGTTCAGTCGCAGTGACTCACTTATTAACAGTGACTTGCTGCCACCTGCTGGCGGTTTTAATTTCACATTTAAAGTACCTTTTCAATTTTTTTATAATTTCAAACATCAGTTTTCAATGTTTTATGTTTAAAATATCAAAACGTTATTTATGCATTTGTAACTGCAGGTTAAAGTATTTAATGTCCCTCAGAGCTGCATTAAACCGTGTGTAAACACATCTAAACGCCTCTTCAGACGCAGCTTCTGTGTTTCCTCTGCGCTGCAAAGATACATTTTGTTGATACTGATTTCATTTGCTTGCTAACAGCCCAAATGCAAGAATTTGACTCAAAAGATGGTGCACACTTTTAGAAAAAATGTCTTAAAGATAAAAATGCCCATAAAACTTGTTGGAAAAGATTAATTTCTATCACTGCTGTGAACTGACCAGCACACAGAATATGAAGAATATAAAGATATTCAGGAGGCAGCTGTCCACGGCAGTCCTTAAGATATCAGCACAATAACACATGATCAGCCAAATATCGTCTAATTATCGTTATCGATAAAATCCCAGAAAATATTATTTAAATGCTAATTAATATAATAATTAATATTTTTGACTTTTCTTATAGTTTGAAACAAATCTAGAGCAGAACTGCTGTGATTCTCCAAGTAAAGCACAGTAGATGTATTTTGACTTTATGAACTTCAGTCCTGAATGTTTCAGCAGTTTTGAACAAATGATTTGAGTGAATGATTCACTCATTAAAACCTCGTTAACACCTATATGTGAATTTAGTTTCATATTTAAAAGTAGGCTATCAGCTTTGTCTTCATTTAGTATTTCTGTATTCAAAAATGTCATATTTAAAGCATTGATTTCACTACATTATGCAATTGTAACAACCCTATAGTATCTTATTCTAATTGAATTTATTGCTTAAATGTAATAATTTGACAAAACGTGACACACATTTAACAAGTTTATAGAAAAAATTGCCCTTAAAGTTAAAAAAAGCCCCTGGAAATCAGTTTAATGTTGTCTTTTAATATTGTTAGAAATTAATATAAATATAAGACATCTTGAACGTATCAGTAGTGAAAGCAGTAGGACTAATAGAAATAGAACAAAGAAACTGGCCAGCTGTTAAATAAGTACTGCTTGAGTGTTTGCACTGGTCATCCTGCAGGGGGTGCTGTGCTCGGAGCAGGAGGTGTTTGAGCTGGTGCCCGATGACGAGCGGCAGTGCTGGAAGTGCAAGACCACCTGCTTCCTGTCTGCGCTCACCTGCAGCTGCAGCCCGCAGCGTCTGGTGTGTCTGCATCATGCAGCCGAGCTCTGCAGCTGCGCAGCCAGCAACAAGTGCCTGCGGTACGCCTCTGACACACACAGCTGCGCCGCACAACGCTGTCATCAGTCCTGATGTGCTGATTAAATTAGAAGCTTTCACTGCCGTGTGCTGCAGGTTCAGGTACGATCAGGACGAGTTTCCCGCCATGCTCTACGGGGTGAAGTCACGCGCGCAGTCTTACGACACCTGGGCCAAGAGGGTCACGGAGGCGCTGGCGGCCGATAACAAGAGCAAGAGAGGTCAGACACGATACCGAGTCGCCACTTTAGTCCACATCTGCGGGTTATAAACGGGTGGCTCTGCTTCCACAGATCTGATCGAGCTGAAGGTGCTGCTGGAGGACGCAGAGGACAGGAAGTACCCCGAGAACAGCCTGCTGCGCAGCCTGCGAGACACGGTGAAGGAGGCCGAGACCTGCTCGTCTGTGGCGCAGCTGCTGCTCAGCCAGAAGCAGAGGCACAGGTCAGTCTCTGCTGAACGCTGACTAGTGTGATATATGTGTGTGTGTCATCACTCAGCCCTAGTGTGTGTGTGTGTGTGTGTGTGTGAAGAAGAGAGCGTCCCGAGAGCAGCGCACAGAAAGCTGGCAGCAAGCTGACGGTGGAGGAGCTGAAGGTGTTTGTGGAGCAGCTGTACCGCCTGCCCTGCCTCATCAGCCAGGCCCGACACGTCAGGGTGAGTCCACGAGCCTCCGCAGCCGTCTGAGCTCTGATATACGGTCTGACGTGTTCCCTCCTGTGTGTGTGTGCCGCAGGAGCTGCTGGAGAGCGTGCAGGACTTTCACGAGCGGGCGCAGGCGGCGCTGGCCGACGAGATTCCGGACTCCGGGAAGCTGCAGGCGCTGCTGGAGCTGGGCTCGGGGCTGGAGCTGGAGCTGCCGGAGCTGCCGAGGCTCAAGCAGGAGCTGCAGCAGGCGCGCTGGCTGGACGAGGTGCGGCTGACGCTGATGGAGCCGCAGCGCCTCACACTGGAGCTGATGAAGCGGCAGATCGACTCGGGCGTGGGCCTGCCGCCCCATCACGCCGTGGAGAAAGCCATGGCCGAGCTGCAGGAGCTGCTGACGCTGTCCGAGCACTGGGAGGAGCGGGCGCGCGCCTGCCTGCAGGCCAGGTGACCTCTCGTTACGGCCAAAACTCAAGCAAACCAGTTAGTCTTGGGTTGTTGTGAAATTCTGTGGTTGTGACTGTCGTCCGTCTGTCTCTCTGCAGGCCTCGCCACAGTCTGCTGACGCTGGAAAGCATCGTGATGGAGGCCAAGAATATCCCAGCGTACCTGCCCAATGTTCTGGCCCTCAGAGATGCCCTGCACAAAGCCAAAGAGTGGACGGCCAAAGTGGAGGCCATTCAGGTGACCGTATGTTTCACAGGGTCATGCCTAAACACTTCTGTTTACATTTAATTTAATTTACATCTACAGTTACTTACAAATGAGGAATACAACAGACTACTCATCTGGAAGAGACCATAAACACAAGAAATGCTAGTAACAAAAGGTCTCAGCCATTGTTCAGAATAGTGTATTAAGGGAAAGTGAAAGATTCTGCATTCAGGATGTGTGTGGGAAGATCATTTCACCATCAAGGTATAGTTAAGAAAATGCTCTGAGAGTGATTTTGTGTCTCTACGAGCGACCGCAGGCTTCTGGAGAGGAGATTGATGTAAGAGCGAGTGAATTAGGAGCATACAGGGCACTGAATTTGAGAACAATAAAACCAAATTTGAGAAGTTAATAAAAAAAGATATATTTTAAAATAATATTTTTTTTCTATAAAAAAATAGAATTCATATGATCCTAAAATATATATAGCGTAAGAGAGAGAGAGACAGTAAATTAAGTTAGTGTAAGTTTTAGGAGTTCAGACAATTTGACGTGCGTTTGATTACAATTTAATTTAACATTTAAACAATTAAAACAGTCTGAAAAATGTAAATGTAATCAGAAAAATGACAAATTCCAGAAAAACGGAAGTTCGAGTGGAATTTCAGAGTGCACAGTGTAGTAAGCAGATGATTAATCACCTATGATTATAAGGGGGTCCTTTGAAACTTTTCTCCCTGTAAGGGGTCCCTGGCCCCAGAAAGTTTGAGAACCCCTGGTCTAGATAACATTCTCGAGAGAAATTAAGAGTAAACACAAGACATGCAGACATACGGGTCATGTGACTTGCAGATGACGCTTGAACAGCGCATGCTAGTTCAGAGATGTTTCCATAAAGATCAAAGGTATGAATGCTGTGGAAGAGATTATCACTGTGACGTCTCATCACTGTTGATCCAGCTTCATTGCTGAATCAGGTGTAGCACGTCATGTGACCCGTGTCTCGATCTCCACGAGCAGAACGGCAGTAACTACGCCTACCTGGAGCAGCTGGAGGGTCTGTTAATGAGAGGACGCTCCATCCCGGTCAGATTGGAGGCTCTGCCGCAGGTGGAGTCACAGGTGGCTTCTGCTAGAGCCTGGAGAGAGAGAACCGCCCGCACCTTCCTGAAGAAGAACTCCACCTACACCCTGCTGCAGGTGACTCACACACACACCCTGCTGCAGGTGACTCACACACACACACACACACACCCCTGCAGCCGCCTCACACACACACACCCTGCTGCAGGTGACTCACACTCAAACCCTGCTGCAGGTGACTCACACACACACACACACACACACACCCTGCTGCAGGTGACTCACACCCACACACACCCTGCTGCAGGTGACTCCCACACACACACACACACACACACCCTGCTGCGGGTGACACACACACACACCCCGCCGCGGGACACACACACACACACACACACACCCTGCTGCGGGTGACACACACACACACCCCGCCGCGGGACACACACACACACACACACACACCCTGCTGCGGGTGACACACACACACACCCCGCCGCGGGACACACACACACACACACACACACCCTGCTGCGGGTGACACACACACACACCCCGCCGCGGGACACACACACACACACACACACACCCTGCTGCGGGTGACACACACACACACCCCGCCGCGGGACACACACACACACACACACACACCCTGCTGCGGGTGACACACACACACACCCCGCCGCGGGACACACACACACACACACACACACCCTGCTGCGGGTGACACACACACACACCCCGCCGCGGGACACACACACACACACACACACACCCTGCTGCGGGTGACACACACACACACCCCGCCGCGGGACACACACACACACACACACACACCCTGCTGCGGGTGACACACACACACACCCCGCCGCGGGACACACACACACACACACACACACCCTGCTGCGGGTGACACACACACACACCCCGCCGCGGGACACACACACACACACACACACACCCTGCTGCGGGTGACACACACACACACCCCGCCGCGGGACACACACACACACACACACACACCCTGCTGCGGGTGACACACACACACACCCCGCCGCGGGACACACACACACACACACACACACCCTGCTGCGGGTGACACACACACACACCCCGCCGCGGGACACACACACACACACACACACACCCTGCTGCGGGTGACACACACACACACCCCGCCGCGGGACACACACACACACACACACACACCCTGCTGCGGGTGACACACACACACACCCCGCCGCGGGACACACACACACACACACACACACCCTGCTGCGGGTGACACACACACACACCCCGCCGCGGGACACACACACACACACACACACACCCTGCTGCGGGTGACACACACACACACCCCGCCGCGGGACACACACACACACACACACACACCCTGCTGCGGGTGACACACACACACACCCCGCCGCGGGACACACACACACACACACACACACCCTGCTGCGGGTGACACACACACACACCCCGCCGCGGGACACACACACACACACACACACACCCTGCTGCGGGTGACACACACACACACCCCGCCGCGGGACACACACACACACACACACACACCCTGCTGCGGGTGACACACACACACACCCCGCCGCGGGACACACACACACACACACACACACCCTGCTGCGGGTGACACACACACACACCCCGCCGCGGGACACACACACACACACACACACACCCTGCTGCGGGTGACACACACACACACCCCGCCGCGGGACACACACACACACACACACACACCCTGCTGCGGGTGACACACACACACACCCCGCCGCGGGACACACACACACACACACACACACCCTGCTGCGGGTGACACACACACACACCCCGCCGCGGGACACACACACACACACACACACACCCTGCTGCGGGTGACACACACACACACCCCGCCGCGGGACACACACACACACACACACACACCCTGCTGCGGGTGACACACACACACACCCCGCCGCGGGACACACACACACACACACACACACCCTGCTGCGGGTGACACACACACACACCCCGCCGCGGGACACACACACACACACACACACACCCTGCTGCGGGTGACACACACACACACCCCGCCGCGGGACACACACACACACACACACACACCCTGCTGCGGGTGACACACACACACACCCCGCCGCGGGACACACACACACACACACACACACCCTGCTGCGGGTGACACACACACACACCCCGCCGCGGGACACACACACACACACACACACACCCTGCTGCGGGTGACACACACACACACCCCGCCGCGGGACACACACACACACACACACACACCCTGCTGCGGGTGACACACACACACACCCCGCCGCGGGACACACACACACACACACACACACCCTGCTGCGGGTGACACACACACACACCCCGCCGCGGGACACACACACACACACACACACACCCTGCTGCAGGGGACTCACACACACACACACACACACACACACACCCTGCTGCAGGTGACACTCACACCTTACAGCAGGTGATACAAAATGACACACTAGTGCAGGGGTTCTCAACTCTGGCCCTCAAGGTCCAATTTCCTGCAGAGTTCAGCTCGAACTCTAATCAAACACACCTGAACAAGCTAATCAAAGTGTTTAGGATTGCTAGAAAGTTACAGGTAGGTAGCTGAACTCTGCAGGAAAGTGGATCTCGAGGGCCAGAGTTGAGAACCCCTGCACTAGTGGAATATGTTGGAGAAAACTATGTGCTAATTTAGCACATAGCATAGCACATTTAGGTTTAGGGCCCAAAATTTTGACCAGTATTTTTATGGATATAAATGTCTTCATGACAGACATGGTTTCTGGACTGCTAAACACATTGTTCTGCCTCAGGATTTTTTGTCTCGTTTTCTGGTACAAATAGCTTAAATCAAGATGCATTTACTTAAAGAAAAATGGCTTAAGAAGAAGTCATGTTTTTTGAGAAATTGATCAAAATTACATGGGCCAAGTCTGAAAACAAGACCACGTAATCAGCCAGTGAGGTCAGGACAGTCCGCTGCTGAGTGAACCTGTGATGTTTATCTTTACTCACCTGAGGTTGATCTCTTGCAGGTGCTCAGTCCGCGTGTGGATATCGGCGTGTACGGCAGCAGCAAGGGCAAGCGCAAGCGTGTCAAAGAGCTGCTGGAGAAGGACCGCGGCCTGGAGCTGGATGCTCTGAGCGACCTGGAGGACAGTGTGGAGGACACGCGTGACCCCGCCGCCGTCGTGGCCGCCTTCAAAGCCAGAGAGCGGCAGGAGCTGGAGGCCATCCACTCGCTCCGCGCCGCCAACCTGGCCAAGATGGCCCTGGTGGAGCGCATCGAGGAGGTGAAGTTCTGTCTGTGCCGTAAGACAGCCAGCGGCTTCATGCTGCAGTGCGAGCTGTGCAGGGACTGGTTCCACGGAGCCTGCGTGCCGCTGCCCAAAGCCGGCTCGCAGAAGAAGCTGGTGTCCGGCAGCAAAGAGAGCAAGTTCCTGTGTCCGCTGTGCCAGCGCTCGCGGCGGCCGCGGCTGGAGACCATCCTGTCCCTGCTGGTGTCGCTGCAGAAGCTGCCGGTGCGGCTGCCCGAGGGAGAGGCGCTGCAGTGTCTGACCGAGAGAGCCATGGGCTGGCAGGACCGCGCTCGACAGGCCCTGGCCACCGACGAGCTCTCCTCCGCCCTGGCCAAGCTCTCCGTGCTCAGCCAGCGCATGGTGGAGCTCGCCGCGCGAGCGAAGACTGAGAAGATCATCAACGCTGAGCTGCAGAAGGCGGCCGCCAACCCCGACCTGCAGGCACGTGACTCCACACCATCACGTCTGATTATAGCAGTGCTCCACGACTAACTTCTGTTTCACTCTCAGGGCCACATCCAGACCTTTCAGCAGGCCGGTTTCAGCAGGGCCACGTCACCACGGCCCTCTGTGGACTATGACGACGAAGAGACGGACTCCGACGAGGACATCAGAGAGACTTATGGATATGACGTAAAGGTATGTGATGAATCCCTACACACACGATCAACCAACACTAGTGTTTTCATGTAATTGATGTTCACACCTCATCGGATGCGGATCATCTTAATGTGATGCAGTTTCCCTGCTGCTCGTCTCAGTCTCTCTGTCTCGTGTTTCTCTCCTCAGGACTCAGGAGAGGTGAAGCCGTACTTGTTCTGTGACGAGGAGATTCCTGTGAAGTCGGAGGAGGTGGTCAGTCACATGTGGCCCACAACACCATCTTTCTGCACGGAGCACGCGTACTCCTCTGCCTCGAAGTTCTGTCCTCAGAGTAAGATGTCAATACACACTTATATATCTAGATTCAGAAGGGTCCAGTACTGTAGCATCTATCACCTGATCTAGCCTGATCTCCGTTCCCTCCTCAGATCCGGTGGCGCCACGCAAGCAGCCCAGGAAGACGCCGCTGGTGCCGCGCAGCCTGGAGCCTCCGGTGCTGGAGCTCTCGCCGGCGGCCAAGGCCCAGCTGGAGGAGCTGATGATGGAGGGAGCAAACCGTGAAATAAGCATGTATTTGACCGAAATTGCAGAATCGTATCAAGCTGACTATCTAGCGCGGTGAATGTTTATGGTTCTCAACCAATGGAATATTACGTTTTATTCTGTCTGACAGCAAATCACTTGAATGCAACGAGCTCATAATCACGACTTTATTACGTTTCCGATAGCAGATAGCTCTCGCTCAGCACAGTGGAGTGCATCGATTTGTTAACTTTGTGGCTCATTACTTTGAGTCTTTGGGACGCGGTGACACACGACCCTAAGAGATCTAATGCTTTTGCCGCTCAGAAATCGCTCTGCACGTATCAGAAGTTCTGCGCTCACACTGCATGCGCACCGCGCCCAAGCCCAACTGAACCGTGCTGTGGCCCACCTCTTCCAACCGAGCCAGGGCCGGCTAAACGAGCCGGAGCGATCACACTAGTCAGACGAACCGCGCTCTGGGGGTCAAACGCACTCGGCACGGCTCGAAATTGCGACCAAAATATATTTGGGAACATTTGTGCGAGTGCATATAATAGTTGTCATGTGATCTGTTTTCATTTCTCTAAAAACTTTCAGAGTATGTGCCTTCTGAGTGTTGATACGGTGACCTGTCTGCTACATAACCAATTCAACTTCATCTTTGAAACACACCTACAGAGAGTGCACGCTCACATGACGTGAAGTCTGTTAGGTTAGATTAGTGCGCGTGCGCATTTAGAGTGCGTTCTTTCACGGCATGATTCAGTCTTTTAAAATGCATCACAAAATTCAAGGTATGGGGCGTTTACATCATTTCATATCATTCAGGGGTAGGCAACGTCGGTCCTGGAGGGCCGATGTCCTGCAGAGTTTAGCTCCAACCCTGAAAAAAACCTCACTTGTCTGTAGCCGCAGTAATCCTGAAGACCTTGATTAGCTTGTTCAGGTGTGTTTGATTAGGGTTGGAGCTGAACTCTGCAGGACAGTGGCATTTTATCGATAAAATCCCAGAAAATATGGAGATATAATTTTTTGTCAATATCGCACCGCCCTAGCTGCCAGCCGTTCGGTGCAACTGGCAGAGCTGAATGTAAAGTTTAACACCGCATACACCATCCTAACCCTCGGCAAAGAAGAGCTTAACTTTAGGTAGTTCACAAAAGAAATCTGTCAGTGTGCTTTTCATTTTCTCTCTTCTTCAGCCCTTTCTTTTTCTCGCGGTAGTTAGCGGAAAGCAGTGACGGAGAGATTGACAGCTAATATTAACCAATACTAAATCTGCATTAAAGTCAAGAATGTAGTTTTTGAACTACAAACGTTTTTTTGTAACCCTTTTTGAAGTTGGGAGCACCAGTGCAACTAAGTAAAAAAGTAAATTTCGGCCCCTGCTCGGGCACGGTTCAGATCGTTCAGATAGTGTGATACACCCCTCACTGTGTGTTTGCTCTCCTCTGGGTTCAGGTGGACTGGGTCCAGTGTGACGGCGGCTGTGACGAGTGGTTTCATCAGGTGTGTGTGGGTGTGACGTGTGAGATGGCTGAGAATGAAGACTACATCTGCTCGGCCTGCTCGCATAAAGCCGGCGCGGCTGTGACGGTGGGAGCAGAGACTGTGGTGATGTCTGTCCCGGCGCTGCCCCTGACCGTCCCTCGGGAGAGCAGTTAACCTCACAAACACACAACCAGCTGCGGCATCACCTCCTGTGTCCCACACATTTAGCTCATTATTACTATTGTAGTCCTGGAGGAGCCACCTGGTGATGCGGCACGACTGGATAAACATGGTCCGGGGAAAGCTGAACTAGCTGGATCTGCTGCGTCACCATGAGATCCTGCGGCACTGAACGTCCTGCTCGGACCGAGTCTGCCCTCAGCATACGGAGGACGGGGCATGTAATGGTTGTATTTAGTGAATCTATTTATTATGTACGTGGATTTTAAGCAGTTCATGATGGGGGAGGTCTTTTTCTCAGCTTTTGTCAAATAAAGAAAGATGATTGATGATGATGA